ACTGAGATCCAGCTGTGCAGTGACTGTCCTCTCTCTGTTTTACAGAAGTACAGACCCTCATGTGACTTTGAGACAGTCGTGATGTTCATCTTTCCTGTCGTCTGATTCTGGACGAGTGATTCGTTTTTATAGAAATCAGCTCTGAGGATCGAGGAGTTTGTAGATCGATGTAAACAGTGTAGAGTCAGAGTATCTCCCTCAATCACAGGATCAACAGAACTCAGCAGAATCACATCACCATCTACACAACACAAGAAACGTGTGCTTACTGCAAATAGTAAGAGCACATCAAAACTATTCAGGGGCAAAAATGTTGCTATCTTATGAACCGAATTGTACTTTATGCTTCCAATGTGATTTTTAGCATTATGCAGTCATTTCATTAGGTGCCAAATTCGTATGAATTTGCATGTGAATGGTCCATCCCTAAACCTAACCATCAGTTGGCCATAAGAAGATTTTACAAAACTGTACAAATTAGCCATAATTTCGCCACATTGTAAAATAGTTATGAATTGCCATGGGAGTATGTTTTGTAGTCAGACTTTTAACAGCTGGCATGAAACTGAGTCCAATTTGCTGATTAATCTGAACAAAATCTGTCCATTTAAATGGGAAGAGACTGTCTGATGAATGTGGACAGGTTTAACTTAACTATAACAGAAATAACAGATTAGAATGTGTGTAGATGTGATTAGAAACAGGACTCACCGTGAACTGTGATGTTGAGAGGATGACGTTTCTCTCCAGATTCAGACTGACACCAGTAAACTCCAGCGTCAGATGTGCTGAGAGAGGCGATTCGACATGTAGATCCTGTTAGTTTTGAACAATCGTCTGTGTTTCTGTCTGTGTATTTTCTCACTGACCATCCAGCAGAGTTACTCTGATCCTCACAGCTCAGAGAGAGAGAGTCAGATGAGAAGTGTTGACTTCTGCTGGGACTGACCACCAGAGACACTGAAGGAGAAAAACCTGAAAAGAGGAAAATCACACTCAAAATCGACAGCATACGTGTTTGTATAATAAAATCTGTAATTAAATAAAATTAAGATGAAATTTAGCACTAAAGTTTAAAATAAGAAGGGTCTTATGCGTATATAATGAGTTTGTATTTGTGTTACATGTTCTCTGTGCTCTGTTTGGACTTTTATGTTAAAGTGTTTCCTGTGCCTTGTTTGTAGTCTGTTTGTAGTCCGTTTGTGTATTGGTCCCCCGTGATTAGGTTCCGCAGGTGTATGCCATTTACCATACCCCCTTGTTATCTTGTTAAGCTTGTTCTCTTGTGTATAAATTGTGCTTGTGTTCCACACGGGGTTTTTGTCAGTCAATGTTCGTGTTCATCCATCTTTTGTGTTCCCTAGCTTCCAGTATTCTGTATGTTGTACCTTTTGTTTATTAAAGACTCCCTGCATTTTGATCCTCGCCTCTGCCTGCTTTCTCGTCACGTAACAGATTGACTGACCAACTATGGATCTAGCGGAAGTGAATCAGGACCCTCTAAGCATGCTTTGCTCCCTCTCTCAAGAAGGCCGGCCCATTGAATGCTACGTGGAGGAGTTCCTGCAATACAGCCATCATGCGTCCCTAGATGACACCAGGCTGATGGACTGTTTTTGGTGCGGGCTGGACGACAACATTGCCCAACTGATGCCGGGGGGAAATTCTGGCTGGACCCTGGCTCAGTACGTCAACCTTGCCCTGCGACTGTGTGGATCCCCTCTAACTGTGGGGGAAGTAGTGGAGGAGGATTCCAAAAAGGCCGCTCCTCAGTCAATCTCACCGGCCACTCAGCAGACAAACTTTTTGTGTCCATTGAATCTCCCATTATGACTGCTGACACTGTTTCTGAACCCTCTGTCTGCCATGTCACAGCCAAGAAGGCTGTCCATGAACTCTCGGCAGGTCCAGCCACGGCCAAGGAGGCCACCTGTGAGCCCTTTGACTGTCCCGTAATGGCCATGGAGGCTGTCTGTGAACTCTCTGGCTGTCCTGTCATGGCTATGGAGACCATCTGTGAACTCTCTGCTTTCCCTGTTATGGCCGAAAAGGCCGTTGTTAACCTCTCGGTGATCTCGGCTCCTGTCCCACCTAATCCGCCTTGGTGGTCATCTGCTCCACCATGGGAATCTCTGCTCCCATCTACTCAGCTGTGGTGGTCATCTGCTCCACCGTGGGGACCTCTGCTCCCATCTACTTTGCTGTGGTGGTCTTCTGCTCCGCAATGGCCCCCTGAGTTCCCTGCTCCGCCATGGCCTCCTGAATTCCCTGCTCCGCCATGGCTCCCTGAGCTGTCTGCTCTGCCCCGGTCACTCGCTCCACCTCAGTCACCACGCCCTTTTCTACTCCATGGACCTGGCCCACCATCCCGCCCCCTGTTCCGCCTCTGCTCCACCTCCCTCCTGGACTTTTTGTTCTGTTTTGGAGCGTCTGGAATCCGCTCCTTAGGTGGGGGACTATGTTACATGTGCTCTGTTTGGAGTTTTATGTTGAAGTGTTTCCTGTGCCTTGTTTGTAGTCTGTTTGTGTATTGGTTCCCCGTGATTAGGTTCCCCAGGTGTTTTCCATTTACCACGTCCCCTTGTTATCTTGTTAAGCTTGTTCTCTTGTGTATAAATTGTGCTTGTGTTCCACTCGTGGTTTGTCAGTCAATGTTCGTGTTCATCCGTCTTTTGTGTTCCCTAGCTTCCAGTATTCTGTATGTTTTACCGTTTGTTTATTAAAGACTGCATTTAGATCCTCGCCTCTGCCTGCTCTCTCATCACATAACAATTTGATAGTGCTTTTGATCTGGTTTAGACTGAGAATGGGAGGGAAGTGAGAGCAGGTTTTGGAGGTTTGCATTGGTTTCAGATGGTTTTGTCCCCTTGTGCCAGAGACTGTAATAAAACACAAATACGGATGAGTACAAGCATAAGTACTGTCACACAGACTCACCAGTGGTCCACAGTGGCTGCTTGTTACTGTACTTTGTGTAATAGGCTGGTCGTCCTCTCTCTGCTCTGCACGTATAAACTCCTGTGTGCTGTAGAGCAGCAGGACTGAGAGTGTAAGAGCCTCCAGCTCCTCTGCTGCTGTCGGACAGACGATCATCATCTCTGAACCAGCTGAACGTCCAGCCTGTAGAGGAGCCTGTAACCTCACAGATCAGAGTCACTGAGTCTCCTTCAGTCAGCCACGGCTGTGGAGACACTCGCACTGCTGCCTGAGCTTCAGCTGAACAAAACATGAGGAGTTATAGAGCCACAGAGAAACTGAGAGAGAAGCTGTTCACACTGATAATAATGAACAAACTCACCTAATACAGTCAGTGTAACAGCATCACTGCGCTTAGAGCTTTGTGTTCCCATCTGTCCTGTGCAGGTGTATTTACTGCTGTGAAAGTGATCAACACTCCTGATGTTCAACTCTTGTGTTGAGATTCGGCTGACAGAGTTTTTATGTTGGTAGTTTGTTCCCTCTGTTTCCCATCTGTACGTCCACTCAGTGTCTACTCCCCACTTTATATCACATCTGAAAGTGACTGCTTCTCCTCTGAACACTCGTTCATCAGGCCGTACCGTCACCACAGCTGTAGGACTCACTGTACAAACACAGATTATTGCATTAATTTTAGATTCAAAGTTTTAGATGTTCTGTAGATATTGTCTCTGATCTGTATTTTGTGTCAGATACTGTACCAGTAAAAGTCCCAACCAGTGGACAGATCCATGCGACAGGTCAAAGTCACTGTGTTTCCTGTCAGTGCAGCTCCTGCAGCATCTGATGCGAGTTCAGGCTTTGGCTTCAGATCTGCAGGAGCACAAGAACAGATTCAGATCCTAAAGAGACGTGTTAGATGTGTTAGAAAAGTAGTAGAAAAGTCTATATAATTGTTTTCTTTTTATTCATTATAAAAAAGTAATAAGAACATGACCCTCTAAAACTAGCTCTCTGTATTCTATTTAATCACATTTTTATTATTTTTATTTATTATTAAAAAAAAAAAAAAAAAAAACCTTGTCACGTCTGCTGAGTTAGACTATGCAACTTGTCTCAGCACTTACATATTGTTGCTATTTTGTGTAAATGTGTAAATGTAATGTAGATTTCCCAATCAGGTTTTTTTGTGCCCCTGATTGATTCGATCCGGGTCATTGAATATTGAGTATCTGCCGATACCGAGTCCCAATCCGAAACTTGAATGTATTTTTTGTGCACACTTCCAGTACACTAAAGTTATTAAAATCAATCCCATGTATACAGAGCTGTGCAGAGAGCAAAAGTAATATTTGATCGCTTGGGACACTTACAAAAAACCCATGTATGACATTTGACTGTGTTCATATGACTAATAAGGACTGTTTTTAATATTTTTGTGTTGAATTGATGTAATAAAATATAATTGTTCAGGCCCTACAGGTTTTGAAACATTAGATGCCCAACATTTTTGAGATAGCAGTGTTTAGATCAGCAAAAATGGGCCAGACAAACTGTAAAGTGAAATAGAGACATTTCTGATAAAACACATTTAATTATATTTAATTTTATAATGTAACAGTGTAACATTGCATTTAAATTACATTAGAACATCAATTTGAATTACAAACATCAATTTCAATCAATTTCATCAATAAAACATAGGCCGTTTCTCAATTTGCGTTCTTGTCTGTACTTGTGTTCTTGTGGACTTGTGAAACATCATCAGTCGTTGCCCAAGTACTGTTCCAATTCAAATGCCTTGTCCAAATACCTGCACTTGCGGTCTTGGTCACTTGAGAGTGCATGCGCGCGACAGGAAGTAAGTGCGCAAGACTGTCCCAAGTCTTAAAAACGCCAAAGCACAGTGCCCTTAACGTACACTAAATCCACACTATCTCGAATACCGCTCCGGAGCGCTATTCGAGGCTTAGTGTATCCCATCATGCATCATGTTCTGGAAATAAATCATGAGACTTTTTGCTGAGATCGCACAAGAGGTAACGGAAACCTTCCCAGTGCAAGTTAGATATTAATATAATAAATAGATATTACATATAATTTGGTAGAAAAACAAAGTGTTGCACATGTATTGGTGTAAAGATGAGTAGTGGTGATATTTATTTTGTAAACATTTGCAACTGCTTTTTATCACTTAATTAGAAGCACCACAAATTAAATTGTGTCATGTTATAGGGACTATTGAACAGACATTTAGAAGTTGATTTTAAAATGCAAAGTATTTAAAATAAAAATAACGCTATCTAAACACTTGCATTTTTACAACACTATACGTAAGTGTGTCCCATCAGGTAATGAAAAGTTCAACACACACTTGTGGCATTCATGCTCACTTGAACACTTGGGCCAAATACAGGAAATACATCATATAAGTGGTCAAGTGCAAAGACCACAAGTGTGGGTATTTGGACAAGGCAAAAGTTCACATCAAGCCAAGTACAGTTCAAATCCCCGGATGTGTTCTTGCTCCACCCCTTTTATCAAGGAGGCATCCAGAGGTGTGCGAACTTGAGGCAGCCAGGTATCCCAGAATGCATTTCGCACCAACCAGCGAGCGTTAATGGCGGAGGAGAAAACCTGCATCATTTTCAAAATATTACTGTTATTGTGTCATGCAATGCAGTTCTAAGAGTATTTCAGGCGAGAATGTAGTTGTTTAAAACTCAAATCTGCGGTTTATTTATAAAGTCAAGTCAAGTCAAGTCACCTTTATTTATATAGCGCTTTTAACAATACAGATTGTGTCAAAGCAACTGAACAGCATTAATTAGGAAAATAGTGTGTCAATAATGCAAAAATGACAATAGTAAACACTAATTTTTCAGTTAAAGGCAGTTCATCATTGAATTCAGTGATGTCTTCATTCAGCTCAGTTCAGTTTAAATAGTATCTGTGCAATCAAGTTGACGATATCGCTGGAAATTAAGTGTCCCCAACTAAGCAAGCCAGAGGCAACAGCAGCAAGGAACCAAAACTCCCATCGGTGACAGAATGGAGAAAAAAACCTTGGGAGAAACCAGGCTCAGTCGGGGGGCCAGTTCTCCTCTGGCCAGACAAAACCA